GAAGTTCTTCGATCCTTGAGCAAAAGACTCAAGCCTCCTAAAAATACACGTCCCCTCTTTTGCTATGTCAGCTTAATAAACGACGTTAAGACAATTTGAAAAACGCCCGTTAAGATTTCTTACTTACCTATCATGTTCAATATAAATAATCACCATAAAAGATTTATTTAAATCTCCTGGAACTCGATCTCCCTATGGAACCAAAGTATAATCGTTTTCTCATCTTCGGCGAACCAAACTCCCTTATCTCACAGTCAAATCACCGACAATATTGGAATGTCATAGCAGGAGCTTTATCCTGATTCTTGCTCTATATATTTATCCTGATTCTTGCTCTATATATTTATCCTGATTCTTGCTCCATATAGAACGCGTACTCAAAGTGAGACTTAATTTTCTTTGCAGCTCTATGAGAAAATTAGTTAATTAATTGCTATTCTGCATATGATAGCAAGGTTTTAAAAATCGACCAGGAACTGGAATTATTATGGCCACTGGTTTTTAGGCAGATAATTCAATTGTTCAATTCGAATAGATGATTTATTCTAATAAAAAAATAAAATGATCAAAAATTATTGAACGGGTTGAATTGATCAATAGTTCGATTGTCCAGATCAACGGGTCATGGACCAAATCAACAGTTTTTGGTCAAAGACCAAATTTGGAATAAAATATAACCGATTGTCTGAATGGTTTTAGGTCAACAAGGGTTCAAAAATATTGCATAACACAGTGAAAGAGTGAACTCCATCTCACAGTTGCTTTTTTCCTACTGTATTTTTTTTTAATATTTTTCTCACCCATAAAAAAAGCGTTAGAAAATCTAACATGCAATCTAAGTCCTTTCATTTTTTTTTCTTTTGATTAATTGCTTGTTCTTAGCAAACCAGGACCTGATTCTCCGTACCAATCTCCAGTTCTAAAAATTAAATCTTGTTAAAATACCTTTCCAAATGTGTATTGATTAATTGTCCTCTTTAATCAAGTAATTCTAAACTATGGATTAACTTTCATCTTTAATAGCCGATGGTGGATCTCATTGTAGCCTTGCGGACCCATCTAAAAAAGCCTAACCTCCCCAGAGAAGTTCTAAATTGAAAATCAATTATTGTCCCATGAGCAAAGACGACCTTGTTTTGCTTCAGCTGCGGTAATTTGAGTTTCAGGATGGGGAAATGAGTCCGGATCTCCTCCACTCAGAATGGTGTGCGCTGGGATGTACTTCCATTCATAAGCGAACACATCACACAATTCGCATGGACACCCATTTACATGTGCGGGAAAATTAAACGGCAAATTTTCCGTTACATTTACATGTTATAATTTTTAACTAAAATCAAGAAAAGGGAAATAAGAAGAAACCCGGATTGAGTATTTTTTATGGATGCCATTAATGATCGTAGAGCTCTCTTTCTTCTTAAAGCTTAAGCCTGGGGCAGAAGCTATTAACGATTGCAACTTCAGAGCAGAATTTTTATAAAGAAAATTAGTTTTTCTTCTCAAATCTTCAATCAAAAGCGGGAGTCAACTGCAAATAGACTTGTCTTTTTGTCTTCAACCTTTAGCAAGGTCACAAGTCTCATATTGTTTGAAGCTAAATTTTTAGCTTCAGTCAAGGACGAGTTATAGGTATTTTTCAGTTTTCGGGTCCAACCAAAGCCATCTAAATCATCCTGTTTAAAAACCACTTCCATTAACAAACGATTACGAACTCTTTGTTAGGACTAGAGGAGCCGGCTATCTAGTGAAACGATTGAAATCTTGCGGATTATTTGATAATGGTTTCTCATTAGGTAGTTGTTGTTTCTCTGTTTTTTTGTTTTTTTTGTCAATAGCTATATTGTTTGATAATGGTTTGAAATCTAACTTAGTTGATATTGTTAAACAATGGTTTGAGATCTTGCTGAAATTTTACGTTGTTGACAAAACTCGGTGTAGCTTTACCTTACTGAAATTGAATCTTGCTGAAATTTCACATTTTTCTTATGCAAATCATTCATCAATAGAACTCCCTATTTCAAGATATTTCTAATCTTAAATTGTCAATGTTTATTTTTCACACAAATGGTTTTTTCTTATGCAAATCCTTCATCAATTGAACTCCCTATTTCAAAATACTTCATGATCTTAAGTTCTCTCTCCTTATTTTTCACACAGATGGCTTTTTTCTCCATCGGATAATCCAAACTATATTTTTTTATCTTTTTAAGTTTTTATTTTAAAATATAAAAAGTAAGTCATTAACGGAGGGCGTTATCAGGACCCTTATATCTAACTGACGTGTTATCATCAAATAAATGGAAGTGTACCACGGCACAGTGCAGGAGATCTGGACTCGGGAAATAGTAAGAGATACCAATAGTGTGCTTTACCTTTGAAATAAACATGCTTTGTTTCACTGGAGATGAGAAGAACGACCATGCTTTAGTTCCTGTTGAGATTGATTTTCAAAGAAGGGTTGCGATAAAAAACGAACATGGATATTTTTAATTGTGATTATTTTGAACCTGGACGGGAAAGACGGGTAAGAAACCCTAACAGCATTTTGTTGATTATCCCAACGTCAGTCATTGAACTGACTAATCTAACATAGCATAAGAGTGAACGTGGTCCAACGGAACAAGTCTTTAGGACGCTTGAGTCTTTTGCTCATGGAGCGAAGAAAAACGACCTAATATTTAAGAGATTTTAATTTTATCTTTATAAAATTAAGTAATAATTTTTTTGTGTACATGCCCAATCTTTGTGAGTGATGTAGCAAAGAACCTGAATCAGTACATGGCTTTTGTCGTGTGACAAGGTTATATCAATATTCAAAATATCGAAAATGCTAAGTCTATCAGAAAAGCAATTTTAAGATACACATAGGTACACCTGAAAACATTATATATATTTTAATAAATCATAAAAATACATCAATAACACTAAACATAAGACCTCAATAAGTTGTATATACATATTAATATATTTTAATGGTTTTATGAAAAAATATATTGTAGTTAATTATAATTTCATTCAAAATCCTATGCCTAATTATAATTTATAGATTATAATTCTTAAGATTTAATGTTTTATGGGATGGGAAAAACCCAACTCTCCTATCCAACCATAAAGCATACATTGGCACAACTTATATGTGAAAATATAATTAATAATTAATTATTATTTAAATATTTATTATTCATTTCCAAAAGTTATAAAAAAATAAATAAATATCATATAATATATTCAAAAAATAGTTATTAAAGAAGAAATTTCAATTGCTTTTTGGATATGATAGATCATGCATAGAATTATAATATATTCAATCATTGTGATCAAATGATAAAATATAAATAATTAATTAATTTTTTTAATTCTAAAAATATTAAAATAAAAAAGTAATTATTAAAGAAGAAATTTCAATTGGTTTGTAGATATGATAGATCATCCATAGAATTATAATATATTCAATTGTTGTGATCAAATGATAAAACATAATTAATTATTAATTATTTTTTAATTATAAAAATAAAAAAATAAAGAATAAATTTCAATTGTTCTATGGATATGATAGATAAATCCATAGATCTAAAACATATTTAGTCTTTATAGGCAGAGAAAAAAATTATATTTTCAAATTTTTTGTTAATTTATATTTTCCCCAAATATCTTCATGAAGTTTCCATAAATCTACTGATAACACAAAAAAAATTGTGATTTTGAATGTAAGAAATGTAGATCAACATAAATTTAAATATTCGAGAAAAAAAATCACAAGATATTATAAAAAATTGAAAAAAAATTACCTATTTTTGTCATATTATTCAAAATTTGAAATTTAAAAAAAAAATATAATGATTCACACTTATTTCTTGCAAATTTTTGCAAATCTAACACTCTAGGAATGATGTTTGGAGTTTTAGAGTTATTTGGAGGTAAAAGAAGACTTATTTCGGGGAAAAGAAGCTTGTTTTCCCCCTTTATTTTTTTTTTAATTTTTTGTTGTATCTTTTTCGTCAATACGCCCCGATACACCCTTGATATGCCCCCAATATACTCCAGATATGCCCCGATACGCCCCCAATATAGGTCCAATACGCATGAAAAAATACGAAACGTCTAATTTCCATCTGTATCTTGTTCTATTTTTCAAAGATACGATACGCTACACCCGAAACCTTGGGCCAGATGTTCTTGTTTGGATTGAAACAAGGTTGGGTACTGATTTTGGGAACCAGTTCAGCAATAACACTGTTTCTTTGGGGAAAAAACCTGGTTTTAATTGCTAATATTTCTATTGAAGGTAATGATGCAAATCCCTATATTGTTTTGAATAAAATCCATGGGTCAATAGTAGAGAAATCTCTAATCTTATAGTAAAAATTGGAAAGCTCTTCAAGGTTTAAAAGAAGATGAATCAAGTTTTTTGGTGTCCTCCTAAAACAAGCTGTTTAAAGGTTAATGTAGATGGAGGCTTCTTGAATAAGGATAAGGCTTCCATTGGTTTTGTGGTTCGTGATGCTGATGGCTGTTGCTAGGGAGCTAGTTTTGGGACGACTGCTGTAAACTCTCCTTTTTGGCTGAATCTAAAACTCTCTTGGAAGCAGTTCTTTTTGCAGTTGACAATGATTTGCAAAGGGTGACCTTTGAATCAGAGTATGCTGTTTTAGTTGACAGCCTTGTAGGAAATAGTTTTTCTGTACCTGATGATTTGTTGATTTGTTGTGAAGATGTTAAGGCCCTTTCAGCAGGAAAAATTTTCAGTTTTGTTAAATGTTTAAGGGAAGCTAACTCTGCTGCTCATGGTGCGGCAAAGTGTGGATTCAGTTGGAGTTTCAGATTCAGTATTTAGATCCATTTTTGTCTGTCTTCCTCTTTAAGTTCAGATTTTGTAGGCTCTAGCTAGTTTACTTTCTATTTTTTGTTTCTCTCATGTTTTATTCATGCTTGTTTACTTCTCCTTTGTGCCCGTTGGCTTTTTAATGGAATTTCTTTTCTACCAAAAAAAAGAACCCATATATGGTAGTAATTAAGCAAATAAGAAGCATGTGCACATAAGGGGGATCTATTTTTTGTCATTTTCGTCCATCAAAAAATATTACAAGTAAAGCTATAATGAGATCATGATGAATAGTTCCTGGAAATATGGTTAGCCGAAATTTCCTCCTCCCAACTATGATCTTCCGAAGCTTGTACAAGAGGCTCGTCTGCACATAGACATTTGCAAAACGATGTTATCATGTTAATATTGAAATATAATAATCGATAGACAAGCTTTTTAAGTGTTGGACAATGATTGCTTTTGTTTTTTAAAACAAAAACAACTGCCTGTTTCGAGTTCACATCTAAGACCCCACAGAGTTCAAATCTGCGCCCCACTGGCTCTCGCCCCACACGTCGAGTATCCGCCATTTGTCCCTTCACACGCAATTAGCTTGTCCCGCGTGCAGGGCTAACGGGACAGCCGTTAGCCTCAAAACTAGCCCATAACCGAGTCAAACATTCTCGCGTGCTTGAGCTGCCGGTCCCATCCGTTCTTTTTTCCTCACCCGAGTTCTCTTTCTCCGGCACCGGCAACCGCTCTGGTCAGTTCACCTTGACCAAGTATTCTCCAATACTATCTTGTTGAAACACAATGATATTTTGTTTATTCATTTCAAATTAGAAAAACCCTTGTTCTTTGATTTTTTTTTTCTCATTTCAAATAAGAGAAACCACCGGCCATCTACAACGATCACCGGCGATCATCCGGCCATTTTACTGTCACAGGTACTCTCCAATTCTCATATTATCACTCTTTCACACATTTTCTTATTATTTTCTTTTTTTTCTGATATTTTGGTTTTTCAGAAATCAGAAAAACCACCGGCAACAGTGGTTTTTCATAAAAACCACACTTCCACAAGGCATTCCTCTGTGCCATTCTTTCTCTTGAGCCTTACCTATATTGAATTCGCCCAGTCATCTGTGGACAAGAACTTGGGTTTGGACGTTTGATAGCTGATAAAATGTCGAAACTTTGCCATCTTGAACTTTTGGTTTGGACATTTCAGTGATCATGGTCTCGGTGCCATCTTTACACCTCCAATACCAGCTGCACCTGATGGTACACTAAATCTAAGTTTCAGTGATCGTGGTCTCGCCGGTTGGATAAAAAAGAAAAGAAGAAAGAAATCCAACGCTTTGGTGGATTTTTTTTTTCTTTTTATTTTTTGTTATTCTTTGAATAATCAGAACCAGAAGAGCACAGTACACATGTTATCTTTTTGCCCTGCCCATAACAAAAATATAATTTCCAGGAGAACAATGAATGAAGGAAGCTTCTGCAAGAGGCCAATAGAAATCAAATGCCTGAATCGAAAACAATCTGCGCCTGATGATCCCTTAAATCTTTGTTTTAGCAATTATCTTCTCCCTGGATTTGATTTTTCTGTCAAATACTGCTTTCCTCTCAATCCAGAAGCTCCAGAAAATGGAAAATAACATCAACTTCCATAGGATATTGCCTCCACTGCTGAGATCCAAGACTAGCCATGCTGTTATCAGATCGGTCAAATGCCTAGGCATCACCCAGGATCCGTTGGGTAACTGAATGAAGTGTAGCCTGGTCAAGGTGAACTGACCGGAGCGGTCGCCGGTGCCAGAGAAGGAGAACTCGAGTGAGGGGAGAAGAACGGGGTCAGGGGACCGGCAGCTCAAGCACGGAGGACTGTTTGACTCGGTTTTGGGCTAGTTTTGGGACTAACGGGACGAGTTAACGGCCATCCCATTAGCCCCGCACGCGGGACAAGCTAATTGCATGCGAAGGGACAGATGGCGGACGCTCGGCGTGTGGGGCGAGAGCCGGTGGGGCACAGATTTGAACTGGACCCCACATGGCAATTGTTTTAACAAATAAACACAGCAAAATTATATTGTTTTTTTACTTTTTCTGATGTGGCAGTTATTTTGTGGAACACTCCCACAGCCTAAAACCTTAATGCATTTATAATAAGTATATTTGTATTTGTACCCTCTGCACAAAATTAACAATTTGGGAAGAATATAAATATAAATATATAGTGTAAATACATACAAAATACAAAATTTTATAAATGTAAATATGTACAGTATAAATACGACTCAGTTTAGAAAGAGTACCTCAACGGTGGCCGTCAGCCAACCAACTCATAGAGGATTCAGAGTGCAAGACAACATGTTCATGTCACCGGAGTGACCCGACCACCTAAGTCTTGCATTTGATTTCTTGAGTCTCTTTTTCCCCTTAAGTCAAGACTAGCTTAGGCTTTAGACTGCGTTTGTTTGTGTTGTAAGATCTCACCACCGGTTCGGTTTTGTTGGTATTTGTTTGTAATGTAAATTAAGATAAATGTAAAATGTTACCACCAGTTTAGAATAGTCGGCATTTGGATGGAGTGGAGTTTTATATCATAAATCGATGTAAAACATCACTTATAATGTAGTTTTATATCGATATCACATTGTTTTATGCTCAACGGTTCAAAGATTCCAAATGGCTCAATGTGAAACTCCATCAATGGACTTTTACATCAATAAAGTTTTACACCACAAACAAATGAAACCTTAGGGGCTGTTTGGCAAGTTTTTTTTGAAAGATCTAAAAGCTCTAACAGTTAAAAGATGTACTGAGCTTTTGCATCAAGATCTTGACAGCCTGAAGACCGTTTGGTGAAGGCTTGTCTTTCCGTGAGTCTTTCCACGCAAAGTAGAGTTGAAAAACACTGAAAAGCTCCATTTGAAGCTTCCCGAAAATAGCTCAAAATGGGCTTTGTGTGTATTTTTGGCACAATGTCTTTTGACAACTAGATCTCTTATGAACCAAACAGGAAAAGACCACAACACGGTATGTCGGGCGCTAACTAGCTGATGGACTCCACAAAAAGACACACTAAACGAGGCCTTAGTGTTTGCACGTTAAACCATTTGAGTGAGGTGTCTAACATTAAGGGGTTTTATCACATTATATCCTAAAACCTTGTGAACAATCAAATAGCATCATAAATATATGTTAAATTGTTGAACCTCTCTTGAAGTTTCTAATTGTTGTTGAAACCTCTCTTGAAGTTTGGTAATTGTAATCACCTCCCCTAGACTTTCTAACATAGTTGCAAATAGACTCTTTTTGTTAGAAATCTCTATAAAGAGGCATGAAAATGTCCAAAATACCTATCTAGTTGCTTTTGACCAAAATGTATATTTTCTAAATATTCACCTCATATGAATGGCTAGCCCAAATCCTTGATCTCTTTACCAAAGTAGATTTATTTTTCACGCTTGCACTTTTAGAGGAGGTAAAGTTACAACTTTAAATTCTCTCTTTTTTTTTTGGTTGTTTATTGTTTATAAAGTTTGTATTGTTTTTTCTTTATGTGTAAACTAGCCTCAATAGTAATTGCATGGATATTTTGGACATTTTCATACCTTTTATTAAGGGATTTTAATAAAAGAGGTCTACTAACAAATTCCAATTGTGTCAAAAAAAATCAAAGAAAGCGGTTGCAATTGCCACCAAACTTCTGGGGAGATAAAACTTCAGGAGATGTTTCAACAATTAACCCTGAATGTATTAATCAATCAATTTGCAAGTGGATTTTGATTGGTCAAAGCTCTTTGATTACTATATTTTTCTGGCATCATAGATTTTTTCGATATTATGAAGAAGAGAGAGGAAAAATGGAAACAAGAAAGGTCAATACCTCTGCAACAATGGAATTGCCTTTGTAGATGGTACATGATCTCTTAAAGGGGCAACCTTTCACTTTAAAATCCGGCTTCGAGTCCACCCGATTCTCACCAACTAGGAACACCAATAACTCAGTTAGCTTGGGTGAGTAGAAAGTCCTCTCCACCCTAAACAGAAGGAAGTTTTTGCACTCCCCATCGGCCCCTCTGTAACCTTGCCATACACCCTATACAGAAATGACCAAAGAAGTTGTATCACAGGTCATGTATAAATTCAATAAAATGCAGGAAACAATGAACTCAGCCTAGATACAATAGATCTTGCCGGAGGGATTGAAATTCAACCTACGACGTCTTTCAAGACATTTAACCTACGATGATAATTTTTGTGAAACAGAACCGCTTTGGATTAGTCTTTTCGAGATAATTAAAACCTGACTCAGGTTGGATTAGAATTCAAAAGGTAGGACGTTTGAGCATTTGGCAGAAAAAAATAAAAACATTGACAAATATTTCGAAAAAAAAGTACACAATCTTTTATTCAATGGGGATATAGTTCAGTAGAGTGCCCACTTAGTACAGGGATCGATACCCTGTATCTCCACTTATATTTTTAATAAGACAAATTTCTTAAATTATTCTTATGATTTAGCTAATTGATTAACTCACCCTTTACTGTTTACATATTGTCTCAAATTGATAATTTTTTAAAATTTCTAAATTATCCTTCACCTTTCCATTCCTCTATTTTCACCTTCCCATTAGAGTTTGGCTTCAGTCAGGGCACCATTCACACATTCGGAGGACGTGACATGCGTCCTCCGAATCATGAGAAAGGCTGCCGTTAGTTTAAAGTTAAGCAAAATGAGTGTTTTGCTCCTCTCCTCTCCTGTAGCATACGAGACATCTCTCCTCCCTCTCTCTCACCCCATTCGTCCGGCGGCGACTTAATGTTGATACGAGTGGCATCTTCCCTTTAGAGTTCGGCTTCAGTTCAGGCACCCTTAGTCAGGGCACCATTCATGCATTCGGAGGACGTGCCATGCATCCTCCAAATCATGAGAAAGGCTGCCGTTAGTGAGATTTGCCGTTAGTTTAAAGTTAAGCAAAATGAGCGTTTTTTGCTCCTCTCATCTCCTCTCCTGTCGCATACGAGACATCTCTCCTCTCTCTCTCACCTCATTTGTCCGGCGGTGACTTAGTGTTGATACGAGTGACCAGATGCCCTCGATTGGAATAACCTTACTGTAAGGATAAATCCTACGGCCGATGGCATATCCTACACCAATGGGTAAAAGTGTCCTTATGCTTAATGCTGTGTTATTCTTATCTCTGATTTGTTTGTTTTATTGTTGAACAAACTATTGCCATGTCAGCAAACCTAATCCTATCTAGTGGAAATCCAACACTGTAATTGATCCAACAGGCAGAATAGGTCCAACTGATGCTAAAACCAAGCTGACTTCGTAAGTGTTGGGATTCCCCTAACAGTAATATTTTTTCTTAACGTTAAAGAAAGCCCACACCTATAAATAGGGCCTCTTGTTGTGAATACAAGACTAGAAGTTAGTCTTTGGGAAATAATCCTCATTTGGACGTCAGCTATGCTGGGTCATCATTGAGCCCTTTGGTGTTTTTACTAAAGTGCCAAACAAGTGTGTTTTGCCTTTTTGTGTTTTTGGTTTATCTTTGTATGACAGGGGCTAACATTAACAACCATCACCGGAGGCGGGATCAACCTCAGATTTTGTTTTGTTTTCATCTCTTCTTCTTGTTGTGTTAATGGTGTTATGAGTTTACTGTGCTTTGATTTGAAATATCTTTCTTCTTGTTGCTCTTTGCTGCCCTGGATTCTATACTAAGTAAGAGTTGTTATTGGGTTTACGGGCCAGCAACTCGGTGTTACTTCTGTTGCAAATGATTGAATGTTGGTAAGGTTTTTGTTTGTGGTTTTTGAGGTGTTTTAGGATATGGGTTCGAAGAAATTTCATACATTTGGAATTCTAATATTTTTCTGTGGTTCTATCTATAGGACAATACAGCACTAGACTGATGGGTTTGTTGGTTTCTGACTCAGGGATTTGTTTTGAGGTAGGAATCTCATTTTTTTTTAAATATTCCTTCAGGTGACTGTTGCGAACTGTTGCTTCATTTGGAAGTGTTGTTGCGAAGGTGTTTTGGGAAGTGGTTCCAGGTGTCCATTTGGGCTTCTTCTTTCTATGAGGAGCAGTGTATAGCATAGTATCAGATGGAATATAGTTCATGGGGTGGTTGCCTTATAATCTGAAGTAGGGACTCCATTCGGTTTCAGTCATGGCGGTGTTGGAGTTCATTCCGATGATTTTCATACAATGGGTTTTCATGGTCTGTTTTGTTTGCTACCTGTGATCCAAATGATTTGTTGGTACTCAGAATTTGCAGGAAACCTCGCAGATGGGTCGATTATCTCGGCATGGGCAAATGAGTCGATTTTCTGTCAATGGGTTGGTGTTAAATGTGGAAATGGGATTAATGGTTCAGCTGCCAAGAGGGTGATTATGTTGACGCAGCCAAGCAGAGGTCTGAAAGGGATGATAACAAGATCATTGGGTAATCTAGATCAGCTAAAATGGCTTGATCTCTCTCACAATTTTCTGGAAGGAGGAATACCCACAGAACTATCAAATTTGCATCAGCTGGAGTTTCTTGATCTCAGCTTTAACATGCTAATGGGCCCTATCTCAGGATCACTCAGTGGTTTAAAGTCTTCCATTTGATTAATATCTCTAGCAATTTTTTTGATGGCAATATGGTGGTTGAACTTGGGGACTTCCGAAATCTTGTTGTCTTCAATGTGTGCAATAATTCTCTTACTGGGCAGGTCGACAACAAGATATGCAGTTCCTCCAGTTCTATTCAGATTCTGGATTTATCAGCAAAACAATTTTTCTGGTGGCCTTTTGGGAAGAGAATTTGCAGAACTGCAGTACTTATCATCCTTAGAAGTGATATTTTTCATTTCTTGGGACTGGGCTTTCGAATGGATTGTGAGGAGTTGGCAAACCCAAACGGGATTCTACTCCATAGAATCATGAGAGACTCTAAGGTTGATTCCACTGCCGGTGATAGTTGTTTGTCGCTGGTTAAGTCGCTGCCGGACGGATGGGGAGAGAGAGAGGGAGGAGAGATGTCTCGTCTGCGACAGGAGAGGAGAGGAGAGGAGCAAAACGCTCGTTTTACTTAATCTAAAGGCAAGTCTCACTAACGGGGTGATGATGCTTCAGCCCTTCACTCGATTTGGAGGACGCGTCCTCCGAATGCGCGAACGGTGCCCTGACTAAGGGTGCCTGGACTGAAGCCGAACTCGATTCAAATGTTGCTCCTGATGGTGATGTTTTTCCGTCTAGAGTGTTGCGGATTCAACTGCTTCTAACATTAAAAAAGATACGGTTAATCCTGTCCCAGATGGTTTTGATTCGGGTGATAGAAATTTAAACAATATGAACAGTTCTGTTCGATTCAACTATGATATGAAAAAGTTATGATATCTGAAAAATAACTGATCAATAAACTGGAATTTTAAAAGTAATAGTGAATAAGGTGTTATTTATTAAAATTCATGAATGAGTTTTGATGGGTCAAAACTTTTTCCATACCTATCTTTCCTCGCATCATAGATTTTCTCAGTTCTGTTATGCAAGACACACCTGCCTCCTCAACACATAGGGCTGTTGGTACTCCTACTACTACTGAGAATGCTGTCACCCGGGAAAATTCAGATGAAAAATCTAATGAAGCTATTTCTTATGTTCCTCCTAATTGCCAATGGTGTTGCTGATATGAGAAATTACACTCCTGCTGGAACTGGTGAAAATTTTAATGCTTCAAATGATATTGTGGGTTGAGCAACAGTTTGAGAGGCTCCTGGTACGTTATAAGTTCTATTTGTTCATTTGTCATTTTTGTTTGTAACTTTTTGATCAGTTTCTCCATAATTGAATGAGATAAGCTCCACCGTTATATACTGTTTTTTTCTCTCTCAGATATTTTAAGACAATATATAAATAATATTAATAGAGTTAACTAAATTATAAGGATAATTTAAAAAATGTGTTCTTTTATTATCTCTGATAATGGATATGGGGCCATGATCATCAAACATCCTACGAATCTACGATCGACTGGAAATACGCCTTGTTCGATAAAAAAAAAAAACAAAATTAAAAAAAAAAAAGCGGAGACACGCTTTACGGTTTGACTATTTTGGGTTTTTTCTGACAAAATAATGAACCGACTAATAAGCGTCGGAAACAGGAATAAGAGAAATTCTCGCTTTTGAGGAGGTAATTTCTACGGATTCCGGATCGGTTGAACTTTTTCTCATGCACTTTTCTTATGCTTTGCTTCCATTCCATTAGTCTCATATGTTTAATTTTTGTTTTTTAATGATTTAATTAAATCTAGCTATCATGTATTCAAGAGATCAAGAGTTAAATTTCTAAATTCAAAAAGAAAAACAATTCGGAAAGATGGAAGGAAAAGCACTTACATCGTTATAGTGCACGGTGATCAGTGGATCTCCTCTTGCATCAAGCAAGACCCTACACCGAGGAGTAGATTCCGTTGATCGACTATCGACTCTGAAGACGGGATTACCATATAAATCGGTCAATGTTAAATCGTCACGCGCAGGGCTACGTTTCTTCAACACCAATAAATCTACCGGAATTTGCGAAATCGCCGGATATGCGATGCACGGTGCCGCGTCTGTGGTCATTCGGTCGGAAGGATCGGAATTTCAAAAGGCAAGAGAAAAGGAAAGTAACAATAAAACAGTTTTAATTTATAAGGAAGGGAGCCGACCAACCGACGACGCCGAAAATTATTTATGACACGTCAGACCGCTTTCAACTGGTAAAGAAATAACTCGAAATGATTAAAACGGAGTAGTTAGGTGGACATTTTGGACGAATTCACATCTGCGCCCCACAGCATATCACAACCGTGTGTATTGGTAAATGTACCACTGTCAACTTCGGGATACGAGTATTCACGGTTCTGAGGATTTATTTTGGAACCGAACCGGTATCATCGATTTATGAAAGAACGATAACCGAAATCAAATCGAAGTCAATTACTTAATTAATTGACCAGTTTGATTAACCATCTATTTGGTTCATTGGTTTTTGGGATTTTTATTTTTATAATATATATTATAAAAGTATATAAATATATAATAAAAATCAAAGATATATATAAAATATTATATTTAAAATAATAAATATATATATTTATATAATGTATATTTATTAATTTATAACGTATAGAAAAAGTATACATATACATAAATATACCTAAACTATATAGAATCATATGTATACCGGTCGGTTCAGTTAACCACCAATTTTCTATATTGGTTAACCAAAATTGAACCTGTACCTTTGATTTTTTAAAGATATCGAATCAACCGGTCTGGTTAATCAAAGTTTCGATTTAGTATCAGTCGATTTTCTGGTTTGGTTCAATATTTCAATTTTTCTTGCTCACCCCTACTTCGCGGGATTTTCCCAATGCACATTGAGATGTGCATGTGGAGTGCAGAAATGATCTCATTTTGGACTCTCAAGAGCTACAACTTCTATTTTCCTTTATTCAACTACTATGTTTAGTTGTAGTGCAATTTTATTTGTACTAGTACAATTGCACGTGAGTTCAAATGAAAAAATGTAAATTATTGTTTAATTTTATTTTGGACATTATTTTATTCACCTTAATGTCTTAATTTACTTCATTTGAATTGTTGCGAAAGCCATACTTTCACCGTATTCAACATTCCTACATCATTCCCAATGAATAGAATGTCGTCTACATATAGAATCATGAACGTAACCTTATCCCCACTGGTCTTCTTGTAAACATAGGGATCATCCGGATTTTGCTCAAAGTCAAACTATTTGATAGTAAAGTCAAACCGGATGTTCCAGCTCCTAGAATCTTGCTTAAGTCCATATATGGATCGATTAAGTTTACATACCATGTGTTCCTGACCTGCAGCTATAAAACCTTGTGGTTGTTGCATATAAATATCTTCATTAAGATCTTCATTCAGGATTGCGGTTTTGACATCCATTTGTCAAATCTCGTAGTCATTGTATGTTGCTACAGTTAGTAGGATCCTAATGGATTTAAGCATGGCCACGGGCAAAAAGGTTTCCTCATAATCGATTTCATCTTTCTGAGTGTACCATTTCGCCACAAAACGAGCCTTGTATGTCTCAACCTTACCATCGGGGCCCTTCTTCCTCTTATAGATCAATTTGCAACCAATTGCTTTTACCCCAAGGGGTGGATCTACTAGAGTCCAAACTCCATTGGCCTTCATTGAGTCCATCTCAGCTCTCATGGCATCTACTCACTTCAAGGAATCTATGTCCAACATAGCTTCCGTATAAATCATGGAATCCTCCTCACTGGTCGTGGCTTCCACCAAGTAACTTTCTTGGTCATAGGCATAACGAACTAGAGGCCTGGATGCCCGGGTAAATCTCCTAGGTTGGTTATTAATTGGAGCTTATGGGACAACTCCCACTACCCCTGAGCTCTCCTCATCAAGAACAACTTCTTGATGATGATTGTTCAGGATGTAATATTCCTCCAAAAAATGGGCATTTCGACTACAGAACACCTTCTGCTCTCTTGCGTCGTAGAATAAATACCCTACAGACCCTTTTGGGTAACCTACAAATAGGCAACAACTAGTCTTACATTCCAATTTATCAGCACTTATTCTCTTAACATGTGCTGGACAACCCCAAATCTTCAAGTGTCTTACACTTGGTTTCTTACTGATCCAAAGCTCATAGGGAGTCTTTAGAATGGATTTGGTTGGAACTCGGTTCAGCATGTATATTACAGTCTCTAATGTGTAACCCCAAAAGGATGTGGGTAATTGCGAGTGTAAGAGAAGTGATCGGACCATATCTAATAAAGTCTGGTTCCTCTTCTCTAACACATCGTTTAACTGTGGTGTAGCAGGAGGAGCTAGTTGTGATATTATCCCATTTTCCGTTAAGTAGTCCCTAAATTCGTCAGAGAGATATTAGCCACCTTGATCTGATCGAAGGGCCTTAATGTGTCTCCCTAACTATTTCTCGACCTCTTGCCTGAACCATTTAAACTTTTCAAATGATTCAGACTTGTGTTTTATTATGTATACGTAACCATACCAAGAGTGATCATCGGTAAATGTTATGAAATAAATGTATTGGTTACGTGTCCTAACATTCATGGGACCAAATACATAGTATGTATAAGGTCAAGCGTGCTTGCTGATCTTTCAGGCTTACCGTTAAATGGTCGTTTCGTCATCTTACCCTAAAGGGAAGGTTCACAAGTTGGGAGATCTTCTACAATTAGAAAATATAAAAGACCATCATTTACCAACCTTGTGATACGATCTATATTAATGTGGACAAGTTGGTAACGCCACAGGCACGTGAAATTAACTGTATCACGGGTTCTTTTCTTGAGGTTATTATCCGACGTAGTTTCGGTTATATTTATTTCCAGAGAAGGATGGAGAACATAGAGACCATTCTCAAGTTGTTTATATGCGAGGAATTTGTTATTTCTTTTGATAGTAATTACATTACTAAAAAGAACAGAATAACCATCCGCACACAGTTTGAAACAGAAATCAAATTTCTTCTCAAATTGGGTATGTAAAGACAATCTTTTAATGTAATTATTCCTTCTCTGAAATACAATTCTATAGTTCCTACGGCTGTAGTTGTAACACTTGTAGAAGTCACCAAATAAAGAATCGCTTCTTCGTTACTCAGTCTTTTGCTTGTCCAGAACCCCTGCAATGTATTACATGCATGAGTAGAAGCCCTAGATTCAATACACCAAGAAGCAGAAGTGACCAACATATTGGTCTCTATGACAAAGGTTTCGAAATTACTTTGTTTCTTGGTCTCCAGGTATTGAGGACAGTTCCTCTTCCAGTGGCTGGTCTGTTTGCAGAAGTGACAGACATCTGATGCCTTGTCCTTCTTATGCTTTTTAGGCTTGCTAGTTTTCTTCTAAGGTTTCTTCTTTGTCTTCCTCTTCTTTTTGCCCGATTTGCCACCTTCAACAAGCATGGCTATGGGCTCATCCTTCTTTATCAATTTTTCGGCCCTCTGCAACATATTGTTGATTTCCTGAAGGCTAACATTTAGCTTGTTCATATTGTAATTCATTATGAACTGATTGAAGGAATGATGCAAAGAGTTCAGGATAGCATCAACTTTGGTGAACATGATCTAGCCCAGATCCAAGAGCCTCCAGTTCATTGATGTATCCCATCATCTTAAAACAATGGTCATGAAGCTAGTTCTTGGACATTTGTACGGTCATAAACTGCTTTAGGACCTTCTGACGGGTAGAACAATTATGCTCTTCATACATTGTCCTTAGACTATCCAAGTTATCTTTGGACACTTCGATCTGATTGAACTGTCGATGTATCTCATTGTCTAAGGAGGCTATTATGTAGCACCAGGCAAGAGAGTTTTTCTCTTCCTATTCTTGATATTCCCTCCTACGGGCCTCAGAAGCCCTATCACCCGGACGATTCGGAGCAGAGTTCTTAGCAATTTTGTCCAATTTCTCAAATGTCAGAACCAACATAAGGTTACGAAACCAGTCAATGTAATTTGGGCACTTAAGCTTATTATCGTCCAACAATTTGGCGAACTGTCCGTTTGCCATTTCTGATGAAAGGCAAAACAAATATTAATCCACAACCTAATTTGATTCTTGTTATCTACATGGATGTGGTTTTTAATCTGTGTTCAATTTCCATTTGTTCATCTTTGAGATTTCCCTCCTATCTCAGTGACGAAAACTACGAATTATTCCTCTAGAAATGTGGGAAATCACATACAGTGCATGGAGCCAACTGTTTCAGCTACATAACCCCACCACCTTCTGTGAAGGATCACATCCATTCATCTCATGACCTTTCCCTTTAACCTCTGTTAGACAAGGTTCATTGCCATTTTATGTTAAACCTTTTTATCGAGTAAGTGCTTACCCATCATATTCGTTAACGCCAAGGTACCGCGAGAGAGTTCCCATTTTCTGGTGAAGCCCCTCCCACATCGGTCTATGACGCCCCTATCATCTTATGAAACAATCCAATAGATCTAGCAGCAAATGGATAGCCCAATTTTATAGTGCATCTCCTCATTTCTAAAGGATCCATCTTCATGCTAATGATGGAAGGCCTTTAGAGAGTCCATCATATGAGTCTCCCTATCATGTGCACTTATATTTCAATGGAGAGAACAAAATATTATGCCCTAGTTTTATTTAGGTCAAACTAGAGTGGCTCTCACTGGCTTTCTCAAAGCCAGAGTTAAATGGGCCCAAACGGCTAGGGTTCTGCTCGGTTCCTCTTGGGGAGGAAGATTATGTAGGGCCCATCAAACGGGGAGATTATCCAATGATCTTATGAACACCATGGCAATGATGTTCATTCAGCCATGGGGTGCGAAAGATCCACTATCGATATAACATGGGCCAAGTACTTATGGCCCATGTGCGTAGCACATCACGCATCTATACATCACATGCATGAAACAACTTGATCCAATCAATTAAAATATCTATAAAACCCTTAATTAATTAGATTAAATCAGTATCAGCCCAACAAAGCCCATAATATTACCATATAACATTATCTAGGTACATGGGTTGTACTGCAAAAGGCAGTTCAGCCCATGTAGCTAAATTAGGGTTGATTCAGTTTTATCATATTAAAACTGGGTTTTACAGAGAAGGGCTGAAT